AAGATAAAAGTAATAGGATCTAAGTTCATACATAGTTATGGGTAAATTGAAGATAATGAGGAAATAATAAAGGCGCTGATGGTACCAATGGTAAAAGACATTACAAGTACACCAGGCAGAAGAGAAAACCCTTCCATATCCTATCCCCTCTTCCGTTTATGATTTCAAATGGAACAGTGTTCAAAAGTACCTCTCTTTCCATGCCTGGAAACAGCAGCAGTACTAGTTTTCCTCTCTTCTTTCTTGTTGTCAAGTGCCATTCAGTCGTTTCCAATACTTGTTGTTGTTGTTAAGTGCCATGGAGTCAGTTCCAACTCATAGCGACCCTGTACAGGGTTTCCGAGGCTGTAAATCTTTACGAGAGCAGAATGCCTCATCTTTCTCCCACGGAACAGCTGGTAGTTTCGAACTGCTGACCGTGAGGTTCACAGCCCGATTCATAACCACTCCTAGAGCTCCTAGCGACCCTATATAGAGTTTCTGAGGAGCTGAGGAGTAGCTGGTGGATTTGAATTCAAACTGACCTTGCTGCCCAGGACTTATCCTGGACAATTTTAAACTATCAACTTTGAGACCTGTCAGTTAATGCGCTAGACTGCAAAGTCGGTTTGATCAGCAAGGTCGGTTGTTCAAGTTCACCAGCTGCTCCTTGGAAGCCCTATACAGGGTCACTATAGGTCAAAACAGTATCGATGGCATTTAATAACAACAAAGATAAACTCGTGGTATAGCTCAAAGGACATTTTTTTAAACATGGCATTTGACCTTGCTGATGAAAATAATTTTGTGAAAGAGCCACTAACAGCAGCAGAGTCATATTTAAATCCCCCAAATGATAATAATTGCAACAAGACAAGAAATACAGATTTTTATTTTGAGTAATAATTTTTAAAGCTAACCCTCAAAAATAATATAGATTTAACACTCTTTGGGGTGGGGAGATCACCTCCTTAAGCGAACTTCACTTTATACACGTTAGATCACCAGCCAGCTCTCTCAAGGGCAGGTCATTTTTTTTCCTGCATATGTATTAGGCCCATATAACAAAAACTAAACAAAACAAAAACTTCTGAGGCCCAAGAGGAAATCAGAAACCTACCGCTTAGGTTAGTAGTGTCAAATTAAAGGCTTGCCCATTCCCAAAGCTAATTCGGTTCTGAGAAGTCCCATGGGTGTCTAGTTGAACAGAAGGAGCTAGGAAACCTTAGCAGGCCGAAGCCTAGCCTAGGGAATTGCTGGGACACCGTGCCAGGGGCTGAGGCTCACCACAGACTTGGTATCAGATAATACCAAGTGCTAGACTGGATTTCCAGGACTAATCCACTCTACAGTAGAACTTCTAGGTTCCTTGGTGTTCTGTGCCATAGAGTGGGAGGACTACCGGCTTTATAGATCCAGACTGTGCCAGGCTAGAATTATACTTAATAACAGATAAATAGATTCAACAAATAGAAACAGCCCACAGGTTATGGTGGTTTATGTTTTAGAAATCTGTAATCACATTGTTGGAGGGATCCAGAAGCAAACAAGTAAAGCATCCAAATTTTCTATAGATTCAAGTTTTACAAGTTTCTCTTTTGTATTCCAGTTTGCACTTTTTAAATGTGTGTTTTACAGGTTCCACAGATCCTCAAAACAATAATATCAACAGTGGCTGTTGACAAGTTTTGTAGTTGCTCTTCAGAAGGGCTCTTTGACTTCAATAGCAATTTCCCTATCTCATTTCCAGTGCCCTCCATGCCCCCACAATGCACACATCATTTCTTACTTTTAGGGTCAAATTTTAAATCTGCCTCAAGATAACTTCGTGAAATTCTGTGGTTCTATTATAGCAATTTTATCCTTTGGATTTATTGTATTTTAACTTTGATACAAAACAGTTCTCCAAGGAAACAAAAATCCTTCCCACACAGAAAAAAACACAAATAAACAAGAGTTCGCATTAGAACTGGGGCTTAGGCCCACAATTATATTCTACATTAAATACAAATTAACACTAATTTTACCAAAGACAGTATTTATTCAATCTCCACACTCTCCACACCATTGCAAGTTTCTTCAGGATTCACTAAGCATTTAGCAAGCTTTGTGTTACTGTGGCTGAATTGCAAAATACACCATTTGCCCAGAAATTGCTCTTAGTCCAAATGAAATTGCCTACAAAACATGTGTAAACCAGGCAAAGAAAAATCAGCACATATCCACAAAAATCCATTCAACGCAAAGGTAAGTGGAAAAGCTTCGCAAATTAAGGCTTCCCTTTTAAAACCTGAGGGACGTTTACAGTGTTTCCAAAAGGTAATTGCTTCTTACTTCAGTAAAAGTGGCTTTATGTGACTGGGAGAAGGAGGCGATTTTTTTTTTTTTTTTTAAGTGAGTGGCTAACAGTATTAAGAGAGTGGGAGAACCTACTCTCAAAATATAACTTAATCATCAGGATACTAACGTGCAGGAGAGGCCCAACAAGCACACAGCTAAAATGGAGCCTGATTTCCTCTCAGACAGAGGGTAGTCGCACCAGGTCAGGGTCAAGGTCACCAGCAGGGCAGGCTGCAGCTGCCCGAAAGCGCTACAACGGGAGGCAAGGCGTTCTATCTCCGTCACAGCCGAAACAGATAAATCCCTTCTCCTCTCCCACCCTCTCACTAACCCCGCCAACACGTTTTTTTTTTTTAAGCAGAGGGAGAAGAGAAGAAAGGAAAATGACCAAATAACCTCACCGCCCTGGTTTTTACACACAAGCTCATCAGCTCCCAAAGTTGCCATCTAAGGGCAAGTTCGCAGAGAACACTAAAGCCCATTTTGTCAGAGCAAGGAAGCCTCCCCCGGCCCCCCTAGGATTCCTGCGCCCTCTCCCTCCTCCCACACACCCCCCGAAAAGAGCTGGGAACTGTGGCCGGCCGGCCATGTGCACGCACACACTCTTCCACCAACTGCTGCGAGTTTTCTGTGAATCGCAGCGCGGAGCCTCCCAACTCGCCCTCCTCAACTCTACCGCCTTCTTCGCACAAAATTTCCCTACACACGCAATAGCCTGAGATTTTATGTGCATATATATTACATATGTGATTTTATCCTCAGAACCTCTAGCGGGCAGACGAAGAAAGGACTGCACAGGGGCATTTTTTTTTTTTTTTTTTAAAGGAAGGGGAAAAAAAGCACAACCCAAGCCCTGTGCGTCGACTTCTGCGTACCGGGAAGGGGAAAGAAAGAGGAATGTTTGCAGAGCTGGCCGCCTGCAAGTGCCCTTGCTTGCCACTTCGGCCGCGGCCCGGGTAACACGGAGCGGCGGGAGCGCCCGGCCGGAGCAGACTGCGCCCCCTTCCCAGTCCCCCGGGCAGGCACCGCCGCGGATATTTCGCGAGGGGGAGATCGATCGCGCTGCCTGTCTGCAGCGGAAACGCACACGCTCACTCACAACCCGAACCCGAGACACCATAACCTTAACCCTTCCCCCACCCTCCATGAACTTCAGGTGACCGACCACGTCGGCCTGACACCCGGGCGGGCGGCCGCTCCGATTCCACTCCCGCCCCCAGCCCGGGTTTTGCAGGATCGGGCTCTGAGCAGCGCCAAACCGCTGGGAGAGGGGAGCAAGGGGGGTGAAAGAGAAGAGAAATTGACCCTCAGTCTCCCTCGACCCCTCCCTCAGGCGCCTCCGGCGTCCCCTCCTCCCAGTCACCCCGCCCCACGCCTTCTCCCCTGCCCCCTCCTCCCTGCATTCAAGGAGCCGAGCGGCCCCAGGGGATATTTTTAGTTGCTTCTTTCTCCTTCACTTTTAGCTTTAGCAGCATCTCGGAACACTCAAAGCGGAGAAAGATGGGGGGTGGGGGGGAGCCAGAGAGGGAGTGGGGGAAAAGTTAAGAGTCTCGCAAAGAAAAGCATGAAGGAGGGCGGAGAGCAACCGGGGGCGCGGGTGGAGGAGGGGAAGGGGACCGGGCCGTGCCTGCGGGTATATGTCTCCAGTTGGTTTGTGTGGCTGCAGCTGGGAAGGGTTCTGATGCACTTTAGTCCTGGACTCTGCTCAGGCTTTCCGGTGAGGGGGGTCTGAGAGCCCGAGTCTCGCCCGGCTCCGTCTGATCCGACTGACCCCGCATTTTATTGCGGCCAGGAGCCCTGCTCCTCCCTCCCTTCGGCTCTGCAGGGACCTCGCGCGCCGCGAGCCGCCCTGCCTCCGCCTCGGCGCAGCTCCCGCACCCCACATCCGCCCGCTGCTACCCGGCCTC